CAGAGTTGGACACAACTGATGCAGCTTAGCAGCAGCAGCATATACTTAATTACCTTCTCTGTCTGTTTTAACTTTTTGGTGAAATATCTATTCAAATATTTTGCCCATTTTTAACTATATTTGTCCCAATCTCTAGCTTCCTTTTCACTGTCTAATTGTTTTTTCTCCTTTACATTTTATTGTTTAAATTTTACATGTAGGTCAGTAATCCATTTTGAGTTAATATTTTTTTTTTTGGTATGGTGCAAAGTACTGATCAAAGGTCTCTGTTTTTTATTTTTTTTGGCATATGTACATCCAATTGTTTGAGTCACTTGTTTAAAAAAGACTATCTTTTTTACCCCAATGAATTACTTTTTCCTATTTGTCAAAATCAGTTGTCCAGAGACATGTAGATCAATTTCTGGACTCTGGGTCCTGTCCCAATAATCCTCTGTCTATCTTAAAATCAGACAGTCTTAATTACTGTACCTTTAAATATAAAATTATACCAAAATAAAAAGTTTATTTAAAAATATAAAAATGCAAAGGCTTAATAGAAAATGAGCAAAGCTATTAACAGTTTACAGAGAAGGAATTACGATGGCTCTTTAATATCCAAAAAGATGCTCAACATCAGCTGTTAATACCAAAGATCTAAACAGACATTTCTCTAAAGAAGACATACAGATGGCTGACAAACACATGAAAAGATGCTCAACATCACTCATTATCAGAGAAATGCAAATCAAAACCACAATGAGATACCATTACACACCAGTCAGGGTGGCTGCTATCCAAAAGTCTACAAGCAATAAATGCTGTAGAGGGTGTGAAGAAAACAGAACCCTCTTGCACTGTTGATGGGAATGCAAACTAGTACAGCCACTATGGAGAACAGTGTGGAGATTCCTTAAAAAACTGGAAATAGAACTGCCATATGACCCAGCAATCCCACTCCTGGGCATACACACCGAGGAAACAAGATCTGAAAGAGACACGTGCACCCCAATGTTCATCGCAGCACTGTTTATAATAGCCAGGACATGGAAGCAACCTAGATGCCCATCAGCAGACGAATGGATAAGGAAGCTGTGGTACATATACACCATGGAATATTACTCAGCCATTAAAAAAATTCATTTGAATCAGTTCTAATGAGATGGATGAAACTAGAGCCTATTATACAGAGTGAAATAAGCCAGAAAGATAAACACCAATACAGTATACTAACACATATATATGGAATTTAGAAAGATGGTAACGATAACCCTATATGCAAAACAGAAAAAGAGACACAGATGTATAGAACAGACTTTTGGACTCTGTGGGAGAAGGCGAGGGTGGGATGTTTTAAGAGAACAGCATTGAAACAAGTATACTATCAAGGGTGAAACAGATCACCAGCCCAGGTTGGATGCAAGAGACAAGTGCTCAGGGCTGGTGCACTGGGAAGACCCAGAGGGATGGGATGGAGAGGGAGGTGGGAGGAGGGATCGGGATGGGGAACACATGTAAATCCATGGCTGATTCGTGTCAATGTATGGCAAAAACCACTACAATATTGTAAAGTGATTAGCTTCCAACTAATAAAAATAAATGGAAAAGAAAACCCATCAGCCATAATAAAATAAATGCAACTTGAAACTCCACTGAGATACAATTCCCACCTTTCAGACTGTCAAATACTAAAAATTTTAGCAGTGCACTATATTGATAGAGTATAAGGAAATGGGTGCTTTCATACACTGATGATACAAGTTAAGCTGGAACAATTTCTATGGAAAACAATTCAGTAACATTCATTTAAATTTTAAATGGATTTAACTTTCAACCCCCAAAATTCCATTGCTAGAAATTTATCCTGCAGCGTAGTTTAATGTTAGGGCTTCCCTGCTGGCTCAGACGGTAAAGAATCTGCCTGCAATGCGGGAGACAGGGGTTCAGTCCCTGGGTTGGGATGATCCCCTGGAGAAGGGAATGTCTACCCCCTCCAGTATTCTTGACTGTAGAATTCCATGGACAGAGAGCCTGGCAGGCTACAGTCCATGGGGTTGCAAAGGCTCGGACACGACTGAGCGACTAACACATATAGTTCAACATGTGCTCATAGAGTATGTTCAAGTTTTTTCACTGTAGCATTTCTCAGAATAGCCAAGACAATAAACAACCAAAATCTCTAGCAATAGAAAACTGGTGGAATAAATCATGATATAGTCATATAGCAATATAGAGTTCACTAGAAAAAGAATGAGTCAGATATATGAGGTGTACTGGAAAGATCTTCAAAATGTACTGATAAAGGAGGCATTCAAAGTACTGAAGAGTGTTTTCAGTATGCTTCTATCTGTGTGAAAAGGGGAAATATATACTTAAAAATGTATATATGCTTTCAGGACACAGAATAGTTATGGAAAAAAAACCCAAGAAACTGTGAACAGTGATTGCCACTAGGGATGATGGGAAAAATTTGTGCTGAGGTAGAAGAAAATTTAGTGTACATTATATAACGCTTTTTCTTTTAGAATGTGTCTTTTTTCAGAGAAAAACTATTTTAAAGAAGTTTTTCAATAATAGAAACTGTTCTTAAAAAAGTGTTTCAATAAGAAAAACTATTCTTAAAAAAGTGTTTCAATAAGAAAAACTATTTTTAAAGAAAATAACGATGCATGCTATCTCAAACACAGAGTGAATATCTCAGGAAGTGTAAGTCCGTATGATTATCATTTTCTCTATTGTGCTCTTTTGCACTTGACAAATTTTAAAACATGAAAATGTGTTTCTTCCATAATCAGAAAAATAACTACTTTTAAAATATTCTAAGAAAGCATAAGAAGAGATTAGCTTTACCTGGAATAATGGACAATGCCTAAAACAAGATGAAGAAAAAGATGTTGCATTTTCTTCTGTCATTCATAAACACACATAGCACACTGTTCAAAATGCATTTCTATAGGCAAAAGTTAATAAAAGAGGAAGGAAGTACAACAAAGGAAACTAAAAGCAAAGCATTTTTAAGTCCTTTAGTTTTTCAAGTAAGAAAAAGTTCTACCATCTGGTAGCCTTGAGTAAAACTTCCTACCAAATGTATCATTATGACAATATCATTATGACTTTTTAAAGTTCTCATCATGAAAGGGTGGTGACATCACCATTAGCATAAAAGACTCAAACCCCAGAGAAGTATTGTACAATAACTGGTTTTTCTTTTAGAATCCCTGAAATATAATGCTCTGAAAACATCCTAGGACATTTTCTCTTTATATCACCAAAACTAAAGGTAAGGCTCTTAGGAAGGAAGGATATGAAAGTTTGGATCATCTGGCAAATTCCCAGATAGGTATCATCCCCAAACTTCGGCCTTGAAAATACATTGTACAAAATAGGGCACACATCAACGTACTACTGGCCTTTAAAAATAATGTCAGTGGGGCTTCCCAGGTGGCACTAGTGATAAAAAAAAATGTCATTGAGGGCAGATTGTCAGAAAATAATCTGGCTAAATGGAATCTTATCGCATGCATTTCTAACCATCTTGAATTTTTTTTTTTTTTTGACTGTGCTATGCAGCCTTCAGGATCTTAGTTCCCTGACCAGGGATCAAACCTCTGCCCCCTGCATTGAGAGCACAGAGTCTTAACCACTGGACTGCTAGGGAAGTCTCTAACGGTCTTGAATTTCAAAGGTGGCCATTTCACATTGCAGGGACACTAAAACTGTGCCCAGTTAAAGCATTCCCAATGTGGTATTATTTATAAAAAAATTATAAGTAGAAATGTAATGCAAGCCACATTTGAAACTTGAAATGTTACAAATGTGAAGCTACACTGCAAGGCACAGATGTAAAACATCCTGCCCACTGAATTCATGTTCAAAAAGTAAATATCAGAGACCTCCATTTTACTCCAACACTTCACCTACAGGCAGGACCTATTTTTGGATGATGAAATCAGTTAATGTAAACCATAATCCTTAACCTGACCAAACACCTTCAACACAAGCTTGGTCATTGGTTGAAGCCAAATATTCCATTTAAGAGCTTACTGCCTTTAATTTAAAATTTTAATCACTGTTTACAACACTGGTGGGTCAGATAATGAAAAATCTGCCCACAATGCAGGAGACCTGGGTTTGATCCTGGGTCAGGAAGATTCCCTCAGGAAGAGAATTGTTACCTACTCCAGTATTCTTGTCTGAAGAATCTCATGGACAGAGGATCCTGGTGGGCTACAATCTATGGGGTCACAAAGAGTCAGACATGACTGAGCAACTAACACTTTTACTTTCTCACTTTCACCTTTGAAAGAGTGTATATGTTTTTAGGTTTCTGGTACTCTAGACTTTGAATAAATCATCAGTCAAAATCTTTGTGAGGAAAATACATGTATATATACATATCAGCTTTGGAGCAGAATCTATCTAATGCATAATGATATCATCCTTAGTACCACATTTTATTGTCACAGAAACCCAAGTGAAATAGAATGAGTTTTACTGAACTTCATTTACGCAAATAGGATGGACTTTGATAAAGGACTGTGAAAAGAATGGGCTTCCCTTGCCACTTCCCTTGTAGCTCAGCTGGTAAAGAATCTGCCTGCAATGCAGGAGACCTGGGTTTGATCTCTGGGTTTGGAAGATCACCTGGAGAAGGGAAAGGCTATCAACTCCAGTATTCTGTCCTGGAAAATTCCATGGACTATATAGTCCAAGGGGTCACAAAGAGTCAGACACGACTGAGCGACTTTCATTTATGAAAAGAATATCACAGGCCCTTTGCACCAAATCTAAAATGAATCCCTCCTAAAGGGCTCACCTTATGGGAGATTTCTCCAGCACTTCAAACACAATAGGTGGTTTTCCTGACTCAAGTCTGCTTTCTTCCTAAAGCTGAGCATTCTGGAATCAGACACTTGGATTAATGGCCAAGTTTCCACAAATTAATATGTTATTAGAAGATGGCAAGAAAATTGTTTTCTACTTCCCAAAAAACTTTTTCTCCTCTTTTTTTCTAGGAGACAATGAATACCAAATGGAAACTGCTGTTATTGATTGCATTTGCTTTATTCTTGATGTGGATTATGCATCGTTCTCAGTAAATACAATAGACTTATGAGTTATTATATTTAATGACTGGCAGAATTGATCTAAAATGTTGCTTGTTGTTCAAAAAATATTAATAAATATTCCCTAAATTAATCAGGAGTTACTTTCCTTTTGGGGAACAAATAAAATCATAAATATATTAATTCTTTCATTTTTCAACATTCAACAAATATTTATTGAGTGCCTACTTGGTGCCAGCCCCTATTCTAAGTTCTAGGAACTTAGTACTCAGGAACAACACAAAGTAACTGCTCTTATGAAGCTTTACATTCTAGGTGGAGGAGATGGACAATAAGCAAAGAAATATTTAACATAATAACAGGAGCATTGTATTTTATGTCTTAATGCTATAAGAAAGAAATTATGCAAGATGAGAGGACTGAGAGTGTTAGGGGGCTATTTTAGATGCATTTTAAGCTATATCAATAATCCTTCTAATAGAAAAAGACTCAAAGTAACCTCCTACAGAAACACAGATATGCTGGGAAATAAATTAGTTAATCTGCTAAAATTCTCTCGCACAGAAAAATTCAAATCCTTCCCTCCTCCATGAGCTCCTTTTCATGATCTTTTTAAAAGGAGCAATGCAACGCTCCTGGTGCTATTTGACAAATCAGCTAAACTGTGAGAGCTAATACCTTTTAAAATTAACCCTACTGCTTTAGTTTCACGTTCCATATGTTATTTGCCCTTTAGAGGTATTGTGCCTTAAAAATAGAAAGGACTTGTGGTCACTTGTAATAGTATTAATATCATCCTTTTGAAGATAATGTGCTTGCTCAAAAAGAAAGTAATAGACCATAAGCTCATTGCAGGCCTGGATTTCAGAACTGTAATATCATGTCAGAACAAGATGCCATGTATTCCAGAATTAGGAGCACAGTGTCTGGCAGATAATAGATACTTAGTAATTATCCGGCTAACAAGTGAGTGAATGAAAGGATCTGAATTCTAGATTTTTTCTTTGCTATTCAATTGCAATGGCAATTTTTCAAATTTAACACTAAAATGCCTTTTTATCTTGTGTCCAAAGAATAAAGAAGGACCTGCAGAAGATGAATTTCTGCTGGTAAGAATCTTTTTTCTGTAAGTACTTTACAAATTGCATGGAGGGCAAACTGACTGGCGTCAAGTGGGTTCCAAGGGTAATGGCCTTCAGAAAGACCAGAAAACTAGACTGAATTCTCCAGAGGCAACCACTGACAAATCTGGGGGGTGTCAGTTCAGAAATATTTTATGCACACTCATATATGCATTTATGTGAGTTTGTATGGATGTCTTCCAATTTCGCTCACTTGACACACTCATTTGCTTAAACCAGAGAAGTTTTTAATATTTTTCTATGGTTGAAGTATGCATCTTTGTCCAGGATGATATTTTTCTTTAGATTGACAGCCCTCTCTAGTCAATCATGTTTTCTACCATTGACCATTGTGTAGGACCCAAGAAATTAGTGAAACCAACCCTAAAAACAACTTTTTTAAAGTTCTCCACTTGTCACTGTATAGTTTTTAATAAAGTTGGGCAATTTGTATTTTGAAAGAGCATAAATCTTGAGCAGTCTTATAAGGAAATAACTTCAGTTAAAAACATCTTTGAAATGGCAAAAGATACACTTTAAAGTGTTCTTTAATATTTGATTTTGAAATAATTATAGATTTACAGGTGTTTCAAAGATAGTATAAAGAAGTCACACATACCTTTCACCCAATCTCCCCCAGTGTCACATCTTACATTCAATGACAATTCAATTCAATAACAAAACAGGAAATCAATGCTGGGACAATGTATGTATATAATTATATGACATTTTATCCCATGTGTAGATTGATGTAACCACCACAGCAAATCAAGATACAAAACTATTCCATCACCACAAAGATCTCCTCTGAGCTACCATTTATACACATAGCCAATTCCTCTCCCTGACTCCCCCTAAGCCCTAGGACCACCAAATTTATACTTTTATTTAAATCTTGCATTTTCAGAGGCATCCTCTGATACTGCTCCAGCTGGGAAATGGGTTGGCACGTCCCTGTTACAGTCAGTTGAGGTTTCAGGTTCTCAACTCTGCCTCCTTGTTCATGTAAGAAGAGTCTTAACCCCTTGTTACTAATGAGTGGGGCTGAGAGTTTAGGTTCTGTACATGGTCTCCATTGACGCGGACCACAGGAAGATGCCCACCCTGCTAAGCAGTGGTGAAGGTTCTAACCCCCACTACACCAGTGAGGAGGGGAGGGAAGTCTCATACAGTCTGGAAAGCATGGAAGTTTTAGCTCTCCACTTGGTCTTTGCTGGAGGGATGAATATGGGGCCATAGTTATTCTGTCATACTGGGCTGGAACAGAGTGAGTAGTCTCAGAGTTTTCTGTCTTGCTAGGCTGCCCTTTTCCTGGTCCTTTAATTGTAAAGAGCAGGCTTTTCTCAAAGTTCTTTTTGTGTTTATACTCATTGACATTTCTGGGTTACTGGCTTCTCTTGAACTCGCTCTGGAATACATGTGGCAGAAAACCCAGGGAACTCACTGCCATGACAATGCTTGAGTTCTGGGGTACCTACCTGAACTGCCTTCTTTGCTTTCAGAGTCTTCTTCTGTTTGCTTCATAAACAATGTCCAGGGTGTCTTGCTATTTTTAGGGGTGGTTGTTGTTTGGTTGCTAAGTTGTGTTCGACTCTTTGCAGCTCCGTGGACTGCAGCACACCAGGTTTCCCTGCCCTCCATTATCTCCCAGAGTTTGCTTAAATTCACATCCATTGAGTTGGTGATGCTATCTCACCATCTCATCCTCTGCCACTCCCTTCTCCTTTTGACTTCAACCTTTCCCAGCATCAGGGTCTTTACCAATGAGTTGGCTCTTTGCATCAGGTGACCTAAGTATTGGAGCTTCAGCTTCAGCAAGAGTTCTTCAATGAATATTCAGGGTTGATTTCCTTTAGGATTGACTGGTTTGATCTCCTTGATGTCCAAGGGACTCTCAAGAGTCTTCTCTAGCACCACAGTTCAAAACCATCAGTTCTTCGGTGCTCAGCCTTCTTTATGGTCCAACTCTCTCATCTGTATGTGATTACCAGAAAAACCGTAGCTTTGACTATATGGACCTCATCTCACATGCTAGCAAAGTAAAGCTCAAAATTCTCCAAGCCAGGCTTCAACAGTACATGAACTGTGAACTTCCAGATGTTCAAACTGGATTTAGAAAAGGAAGAGGAACCAGAGATTAAATTGTCAACATCCATTGGATCATCGAGAAAGCAGGAGAGTTCCAGAAAAAACATCTACTTGTGCTTTATTGACTACACCAAAGTCTTTGACTGTGTGGATCACAACAAACTGTGGAACATTCTTAAAGAGATGGGAATACCAGATTGCCTTACCTGCCTCCTGAGAAATCTGTATGCAGGTCAAGAAGCAACAGTTAGAACTGGACATGGAACAACAGACTGGTTCCAAATTGGGAAAGGAGTACATTAAGGCTGTATATTGTCACCCTGCTTATTTAACTTCTAAGCAGGGTACATCATGTGAAATGCCCAGCTGGATGAAGCACACACTGGAATCAAGATTGCTGGGAGAAATATCAATAATCTCAGATATGCAGATGACACTTATGTCAGAAAGTGAAGAAGAACTAAAGAGCCTCTTGATGAAAGTGAAAGAGGAGACTGAAAAAGTTGGCTTAAAACTCAACATTCAGAAAACCAAGAGCATGGCATCCGGTCCCATCACTTCATGGCAAATAGATGGGGAAATAATGGAAACAGTGACAGACTTTATTTTGGGGAGCTGAAAAATCACTGCAAATGGTAACCACAGCCATGAAAATGAAAGACGCTTACTCCTTGGAAGAAAAGCTATGAACAACCTAGACAGCACATTAAAAAACAGAGGGCAGGAAGATCTTTGCCAACAAAGATCTGTCTAGTCAAAACTATGGTTTTTCCAGTAGTCATGTATGGGTGTGAGAATTGGACCATAAAGAAAGCTGAGCACCAAAGAATTGATGCTTTTGAACTGTGGTGCTGGGGAAGACTCTTGAGAATCCCTTGGACAGCAAGGAGATCAAACCAGTCCATCCTAAAGGAGATCAGTATTAAATATTCATTGAATGGACTGATGCTGAAGCTGAAACTCCAATCCTTTGGCCACCTGATGTGAAGAACTGACTCACTGGAAAAGATCCTGATTCTGGAAAAGATTGAAGGCAGGAGAAGGGGACGACAGAGGATGAGATGGTTGGATGGCATCACCAACTCGATGGACATGAATTTGAGTAAGCTCCGGGAGTTGGTGATGGACCAGGAGGCCTGGTGTGCTGCAGTCCATGGGGTTGCAAAGAGTAGGACATGACTGAGCGACTGAACTGAACTGAACTGAACTGATACGGACCTTTGTGGACAAAGTGATGTCTCTGCATTTTAATATGCTGTCTAGGTTTGTTATAGCTTTTCTTCCAAGGAGCATGTGTCTTTTACTTTTATGGCTGCAGTCACTGTCTGCAGTGATTTTGAAGCCCAAGAAAAGAAAATCTGTCACTGCTTCCACTTTTCCCCCTTCTATTTGCCATGAAGTGATGGGACTGGATGCCATGATCTTGGTTTTTTTAATGCTGTGTTTTAAGCCAGCTTTGTCACACTCCTCTTTCATCATCATCCAGAGGCTCTTTAGTTCCTCTTCACTTTCTGCCATTAGAATGGTATCATCTGCACATCTGAGGTTGTTTATATTCCTCTTGGCCATCTTGATTCCAGCTTGTGATTCATCCAGCCCAGCATTTTGCATGATACACTTGGCATGCGTGCTTGCTAAGTCACTTCAGTCAAGTCCAACACTTTGCAACCTTGTGGACTGTAGCCTGCCAACCTCCTCCATCCATGGGATTCTCCAGGCAAGAATACTAGAGTCGGTTGCCATGCCCTCCTCTAGGGGATCTTCCCTACCCAGGGATTGAACCTATATCCCTTGCATCTCCTGCATTGGCAGGCAGGTTCTTTACCACTAGCACCACCTACTCTGTATATAAGTTAAATAAGCAAGGTGAAAATATACAGCCTTGTCATACTCCTTTCCCAATTTTAAGCCAGTCAGTTGTTCCATGTCTGCTTCTAAGTGTTGCTTCTTGACCACTTAGAGGTTTCTCAGCAGATAAGTAAGGTGGTCTGGTACTCCCATCTCCTTAAAAATTTTCCAGTTTGTTGTGATCCACACAGTCAGAGGCTTTAGCATAGTCAGTGAAGCAGAAGTAGATGTTTTACTGGGATTCTCTCACTTTCTCTATGATCCAGTGAATGCTCGCAATTTGATCCCTGGTTCCTTTGCCTTTTCTAAACTCAGTTTATATGTCTGGAAGTTCTCAGTTGGCGTTGCCCATTTGGATTGGAATAATTGACCTTTTCCAGACCTGTGGCCACTGCTGAGTTTTCCAAATTGCTGGCATATTGAGGGCAGCAATTTAACAGCATCATCTTCTAGGATTTGAAATAGCTCAGCTGGAGTTCCATCACCTCCACTAGCTTTGTTCATAGTAATGCTTCCTAAGGTCCACTTGACTTCACACTCCAGGACGTCTGACTCTAGGTGAGTGACCACATCATCATTATCTACGTCATTAAGATCTTTCTTATTTACTTAGGGGTAGAAATAGGGAAAATCAGGACTATTCCATTTTTATGGAAGCACAGGAAACTAAAAGTTATTCTTATTTTACAAAAATTCCCAGTTTATGAAGGAGAAGTCCCCTCATAACCTTGTTAATTATGTAATTAACTTAAAAGTACAATAAAACCTTAGTGTATCCTGTCTTTAAGTGGAAACCAAAGATGAACATCCAGACCCCTACTCTAACTCCGTTATTTTAAAACATGAGAGTATTTATCACATAATAAGGTACTAATGTTTGATAAACTAAATCTTCATTTTCTAAAATATATTCCACCCGCCCCCCCCCCACCAATACTGTTCCTCGCCTTCCTGCCCTTGGTCATAACCTCTTCACCCTACACCACTTTCCTAGTGTAACCCTTATTATTCCAGACTCAATTTACATATTTCTTCTCCAATTGGTTTTCCCTTAACCCCAAATTTAGGCTGGATGCCCTATTTATATGCTCTCATGGACATCTGTTTTTCCCATTAGCACTTATCTTTCTTATCATCTTTCCTGCTCCTCTATCAGCTTCCTGAGGACAGGAGGTGATCTAAACGTTCATAGTTACAGAACCAGCAATATAAATTTGTTGAATGAGCAGATTACTCTTACATGATTTTCATTTTGTACCTAGGGATCAAGAAACAGGAGAACCTCAGCTCTCAGACTGGTTTAATCCTAAGTAAGAACCAAAAATTTTACTCAAAAATAATAACAATAATATAAAATTATAATAATGTAATAATATTATATTACAATAACATAATAATAGCATAATAATATTAATATAACTCTATTTGAATGGGGAGTTTTTTTTTTTTTTCATCATCAAATTGTAGCTAAACTGGGAGGTTTCCAGGACTTGGATTTTTTACTTTTAAAAGTTTTTATATACAATCCTAGGACCTATTTATCAAGAATTAGGCAATTAAGGGTCATAATGAGAAAGCTGTTGTCTGGTTTAATGTTCCTGGTTTTATTAGGGGAAAAAAAATCTCTCTAGTAACAGCTTGAAAAATGTCATTAATAAGTCCTCTAGATTTTGGCGTTAACATTCAGGGGGAAATTTCATTCTTTATAATGGCTGTATAGCATAATTTAATTATTAACCATTCCCTGTTGGTTTTATATTGTTTGCAACTTGGGGGCTATTGTAAGTAATATTTCAATGAATAACCTTGTACATATATTTTTGTTAACTGCTGTGTGAATTTATCTATAAGATAAATTCCCATCATGGAATCATTAGTTTAAGAGGATATAAACATTTAAAACATTGCTTTAGGTTGCTAAATTGCCCTTTAATAATTATACTATTTATTTTCTAATCTATAGAGGATAAATGTTAATGGAGTAGCAAACATTTTGTAACTTGCAAAGCTTAATTGAAATATCTCCATTCCATTTGTATTTCTGTAATCCTTACTGAATTTGAGCATTCTCTAGGTGTATTTCTTGTTTATATTTCATTCCTTTTTTGTACTTATATTTTTAATGGATTGCAGTTGCAGAGAATTAGATTAATAATAATCCCTGCTTCATGACTGACTCTCATCATTATTCATTCTAAATTCACTTTGTGTTCTTTTGCTTATTTTTAATGAACCAAAATTACAAGTTCTATAACTTCAACAGGGCTTTCCTGTGATGGTTCAGTGGTAAAGAATCCATCTGCCAATGCAGGAGACATGGGCTCAGTCTTCCTGGGTCGGGAAGATCCCCTGGAGAAGGAGATGGCAACCACTCCAGTATTCTTACTTGGGGAAATCCCATGGACAGAGCCTGGAGGGCTGCAGTTAATGGGGTCACAAAAGGTTGGAAACGACTCAGCAACCAAACAGCGACAATAATAACTTCAGTATCTAGCTTGTGTCCTTTTCAATACCCCCAGTCTATCTCCTTGCCCTACCCCTTGAAATAACCACAATCCTGAATCCTGGTTCATCATCCTCCTGCTTCCTTTTTTTAAGTGAAAATTTATATCTTCCAAGTGTATTCTGGAAAGTCAATTTAAAAATTTTAGTTGTTTGTGACTTTATACCCAGGATACCATGATGTATGTAATCTTCAAGGACTTATTTTTTTCCCCTTAAAATTAGATTGCTAAAATTCATCACCAATTTGCATATCACTGTCATTCATTTTGATGGCTGCATAATAACTGACTGTGGAAATATACCCCAGTTTGTTCATATACTGCTTGGTCAAAGTGCACTTGAACTGTTTCCAGGTTTTTGCTGTTATGAACATAAAGAACAAATACTCTTTGGAGATACCTTTCCAAAGAGTTCAAAGAGTTTAAAATAGGAAAAATTTATAGATAAAAGAGCTGCCTAACATCTTCGACATTTGTCCCCTCACTGCACACCTGGCCTCCTTGATGTTCCATGGATACACCGAGTCGGCTGTCGACTCAGGGCTTTTGCTCCTTCTGTTTTCCTCTGTGTAGTGAAATGGCTCATTCTCTCACTTCCATCAGGACTCACTCTGATGTTATTTTATCAGTGACGCCTTCTCCAGCTACTCATATAAAATGGCACCTCCCATTCCCTTTTCCCTTCACTCTGCTTTATTTTTCTCCATTGCACTCATCAACTTCGACATAATACTTATTGGCAGGTTTATTCATTTATTATCTGCCTCTCCCAATAGAATGTACCTAGAAAAAAATCCTATATATAGTAGACACTCAATATTTGTAGAATAACACATGAAACATCTTGACTGATTGAAATGATAGCACTTCCATAACACAACAAACCATTACATAATATTTGTAATAATATTGGTAGTAATGGCGATAATGGTAGAAGGCATTCTTTAATTAGAGGGCTTGTGCTTTATTATTAAGCATCATATACTGGCTTGCAGTCTAAAGTGAAATGGCCAGAAATTCCCTGGAGGTCCAGTGGTTAAGATTTGGTGCTTTCACTGCTATAGACCCAGATTCAATCCCTGGTCAGGAAACTAAGATCCCATAAGCTGTGCCATGTGGCCAAAATAATAGTAATAATAATAACAAATAAAACTTTAAAAAAACCAGCTGGGTAACATCTAATAAAAATGAACACACATAAACAGGAATCCTACTTGTAGAACTAGCTTATAAAAATAACAGCAATGATACATAAGATACAAGATTAAGAAAGTTTATTGTATCATTTTTCATAGTGAGAAAAATTCCAGAAATAAAATGAATCTCTATTCATAAGGAAATGGCTAAACTCCACATTGTGGAATATCATGCAGCCGTTAAAAATGAATAAGATTCTGTGCAGAAACACCTGGAAGGATTTTCACAAGGTTGTATTGAGTAAGAAAATGAAGATGCAGATAAATGTACATTGCTTCATTATTGTAAAACAAGATTTTAAAAGTCTGGATACACATGTGTATTTATGTATATGTGTATATTATTCAGAACTCAGAGTTGGCACTCATTGCTGGGAAATATTCTTGTCGTTGAGTCCATGCAAAAACTCCACTGGAGTCCAAGTAGCTGGGGCCTCTTTCTATACAGACACTAAGCCAGCCGCAAGGGAGGCTGGACAAGGCATGTGGCTAACACCTGGAGGGCAGGTCAATTTGTCCACCTTTCAGAGGATGTCCTCTGGCCAAACTTGCCTCTCAGGGGAAGAGTTTAGTACTGATACTCTAAATCTAATTTAATGACCACTATAAATCTGATGACTCTTCTTCCTCTTCTGTTTCATCAAACAATTTCTAAATACAAGTTTTTTATTGCTTTCTGCTTTCAGAGATGCTTTTTTCTTTCATTCTGGCAGCAAATCTTTGATCTAATGAGGAAAGAGAGAGAATCTTCCAACCCTTTCACTGTCTCAAACAGACACTGATTTGCATCTGTAGCCTAATTTCTAAGTATTATTACTTAGAAATTGTGACAAGGCTACATCTGGCCAGTTTTAAGATAGAGTCTGAGATTTATGAGCCAAATAGAAGTGGTTGACTATTAATTCTAAGAACAGGGAGGGTTCAAATGTATAAAAAATAAACAAATGTATAAGCTAAAACAGTAAAAGGGGCAGTTTTGAAGAATTTGTTATTATATTATAACTAATATGCTATTAAGGGTTGACATATCCTAACCATAATGGGTCTGTTTCTGATTGATACCTGTGATCACTAACAGCAAAATAGCTTCTCACTTTGTATTCAGTTCCTTCCAAAATGAAAAGTCTTAATTGACTTTAATAGTTTAACACCCTGCCTCCAGCCAAAATATTTATTACGAATGCTGTGGCTTATGCTGCCATTTTGTTATTATTACAAGCAAATCCAACATTATTCTTCCTTTGTGGACTAATCACATTTTATTCCAGGTGGCAGTGATGGGGGCCTAGCATTAAGGAGAAATGAAAAGAGAATCCTTTGATCTTCTAGGGAAAGAGGAGGAATAAAAAGGAAAAGGAGAAGTTGGGGGTTAGGAGGGAATATAAAGAGATAGCGGTTCTGTCTGCTTTAGGAACAATCAGAGAAATGTTCAGACACGGGGTTACTTCAGTTTAAGTTGTAGTCAGAGCCTTGGTGGCTTAGCTGGTAAAGAATCTGCCTGCACTGCAGGAGACCTGGGTTTGATCCCTGGTCTGGGAAGATCCCTTGGAGAAGGTAAAGGCTACCCTCTCCAGTATTCTGGCCTGGAAAATTCCATGGACTGTATAGTACTTGGGGTCACAAAGAGTTGGACATGACTAAACGACTTTCGTTTTCACAGAGCTCAAAGAAAAAAAATCCCTGGGCTCAAAAGGCATTATGGCGTAAGGACTGAAGTAAAGATTCGGAAGCCCAGCTGGCTGATCTTGAAGCCTGACTGCCATTTATTAACTGTGTGATACCAAGCAATTTACTCAACAAATCTGTGACCTAAATTCCCTCATATGAAAAATAGGAATGATAATGGAACTTATAGGACGTTGCAAGGATTAAATAAGTAATGGAAAAAGCACTTAATCACTATTCCAGGAATATAGTAGGCACATGATAATCATTAGTTATTATCACTTGGACGGCAACCTTTCCTCTCATAATGAAGTGGTACCTGATTGCTTTGTTTCTTGTCTGTTCAACAGAAAACGTCCTGATGTAATAACAACAACCAACTGGCTTGCTCCAGTCATATGGGAAGGAACTTATAATAGACCGGTCCTGGAAAAATACTACAAAAGGCTGAACATCACTATAGGCTTGGCTGTAATATGTGTTCCCGGAAAGTAGGCACTACTAATAGTCACCTCCCCCCCTTTTTTTTAAATTTTGGGAAGAAATGTGGATAAGTAAGCACCCATAGACTTTCTACATTTAAAGAGATATTTATGAATAGCTCTAACCATTATTTCTGGCTGACAGTATAATTATTTTTAGTGGTTATTTTCTTCAGGCAGATCTGAATCCTTAACATTCCATGGGAATCTTTTCATTTATATCCAGTTAGTTTTCACAACAAACTCGATGGTTCTTCTTAGGCCCAGAAGATCACTACAGTCTCTTTCACTAACCAATACATTTAAGTTTTAGACCCAACTGCGTTATACTTACCTATTCATAGTTCTTAAGCAACAATGATGGGCTTTGCAGGTGGCACTAGTGATAAAGAACCCATTTTGCTCTTGGCAAGTACAGGAGACATAAAAGATGTGGGTTTGATCCCTGGGTTGTAAAGATCCCCTGGAGCAGGGCACGGCAACCTATTGCCTAAGCTCGGCCTCTGTTCACCTGTGCCAAATAGAAACAAGGAGACAGGGTTTTGGGTGGAGGAGAAAAGAGTAGTTTTATTGCTTTGCCAGGCAAAAGGGGCCCCAGTGGGCTCATGCCCTGAAGGCCATGTGACCTACCTTGAAGGGGGCAGTAAGGAGTGTTATAGTGTTCAAAGAGCAGGGCATGATCAGCTTGTGGACAAGTCTTGGATTGGTTGGCCATCAAGGTGAAGCTTCAAGCATCATCAACCTGGTTTCAAACCAGTCTAGGGTCTATGTTCTTGTTGTCAGCAGTTTTCATCTGGAGGGGTTCCGCTTCCTGTAAAAACAGCTTAGGAATGTGCGTCAGGCCTTTGTCTATATCTTTCAGGAAACTGAGAGTTTGGTGATTCTGTTACATAGCAGAATTATAGTCTAAATTGTTACCAGTTCCTTAGCCCAACAGCTCTTCTTAGCTTCCACGTCTTCACATTTCCCAATCATTAACTCTTTTTTTTTTTTCATTTATTTTTATTAGTTGGAGGCTAATTACTTTACATCATTGCAGTGGTTTTTGTCATACATGAAATGAATTAGCCATGGATTTACATGTATTCCCCATCCCGGTCCCCCCTCCCACCTCCCTCTCCACCCGAACCCTCTGGGTCTTCCCAGTGCACCAGGCCTGAGCACTTGTCTCATGCACCCAACCTGGGCTGGTGATCTGTTTCACCCTAGATAATATACGTGTTTCGATGCTGTTCTCTTGAAACATGCCACCCTCGCCTTCTCCCAGAGTCCACAAGTCTGTTCTATACATCGGAGTCTCTTTTTCTGTTTTGCATATAGGGTTATCGTTACCATCTTTCTAAATTCCATATATATGTGTTAGTATACTGTAATGGTCTTTATCTTTCTGGCTTACTTTGCTTTGTATAATGGGCTCCAGTTTCATCCATCTCATTAGAACTGATTCAAATGAATTCTTTTTAATGGCTGAGTAATATTCCATGGTGTATATGTACCACAGCTTCCTCATCCATTCGTCTGCTGATGGGCATCTAGGTTGCTTCCATGTCCTGGCTATTATAAACAGTGCTGCGATGAACATTGGGGTGCACGTGTCTCTTTCAGATCTGGTTTCCTTGGTGTGTATGCCCAGAAGTGGGATTGCTGGGTCATATGGCAGTTCTATTTCCAGCTTTTTAAGAAATCTCCTGAGTCAGCAGTATACTTCAAAAGACAAGGACACAGGGGCTTGTACATGTTTTCAAACCCACTCCAGTATTCTTGCCTAGAGACCCCCCGTGGACAGAGAAGCCTGGTGGGCTACTGTCCGTAGGGTTACAAAGAGTTGGACATGACCGAAGCGACGTTAGAATGTTTAAATGACAGGTAATTTCCTGATGATTTCTGGCAAAATAAGTCTTTTGTGTTGTGTGTTTGTTTTTCATGTTTCACAGGTTTTCAAATCAGAGCCTGGCTGACTTCATCCAGTCTGCAAACAAGCACTTCCTCTTTGGCTACAACGTTGTCTTTTACTTCTTGCTGGATGTCTTCTCCACCCTGCCTCCCATAGCCTTAGGTCCCCTTCGAACATTTAAGGTATTTTTAATGGTCAAAAGTGATATAGGGAAAGATTTTTATTTCATATACATGAATAACTTATTTGACTACATCATAACACACATCCAGTATGAAGTCAACTTTCTCTTCGTTATGAATGCAAACCAGGTCTTCAAGGATGATTTTGGAGTGGAAACCCTGGGAAAATCTGTAGCTCAACTTAGTGCATGGTGGTATTTTAAAGATGGTGACACTTTCCCTTATGAGAGAAGACTTAAATCAGCAGCTTTCATCCCTTTTGAAGAGGGAGATTTCTACTACCATAGTGCAATTTTTGGTGGCACAGTTGAGGAGGTTTTAAACCTCATTAGAGAATATCAGAAAGGAGCTATTCAAGACATTAAAAATCAACTTAGCAGCACATATGAACATCACCTAAACAAATATCTTTTTATCAAGAAACCGACTAAGTTATTATCACCAGAATACAATTGGGATCCAAGTTTTAGAACCCCTCCGCAAATTAAATGTGTCAAGATAGCATGGCAGTCAAAAAATGTTTGATGGTTGTATTGATGGGTTTGTGGATTAACAGCTTCACTACAATAATTCCTCACATATGAAACTCATTAATATTTTCAGTTTTAGGAAATTAGAAAAATGTGCAATCTTCCAAAAGAAACTGCTTTTCTCCTTCCAATTTTGAACCACCTAAATCTAACTTATGCTGGATTACAAATAAATGAATATTAACTAATGTTAATACACAGTAATGATGTCATATATGATTTAGATATAGATATATATTATAAATAATGTAGAAATATTTTGGAGGCATAAAATGAATGTTTTATGAAGAAACACATCCAGATTCTAGTACAAAAAAAATAATAATAGAAGGACAGATAAATAAGTAGATAGATAACACAAAAATACCTATGGGATTTTTTAAATTGATTATTTTTATTCTTGAATGTGCTAGGTCTTCTTTGGTGGTTCAGATGGTAAAGAGTCTGTCTGCAGTGTGGGAGACTCGGATTCCATCCCTAGGTAGGGAAGATCCTCTAGAGAAGGAAATGGCAACCCACTCTAGTATCCTTGCCTGGAAAATCCCATGGGCAGAGGAGCCTGGCAGGCTACAGTCCATGGGGTTGAAAGGAGTCGACATGACTGAGCACCTTCACTTTCACGTTCAGGTCTTCTTTGCTGCGTGCGGGCTTTCTCCAGTTGCAGCGAGTGGGGCTCCTCTCTAGTTTCGGTGCAAGAGCTCATTGTGGTGACCTCTCGTGTTGTAGAGTATGGGCTCTAGAGCACTGGCTCAGTAGTTGTGGCTCACGGGCATGTAAAATCTCCCCAGATCAGGGACGTAACCAGTGTCCCCTGCCTTGCAAGGCAGATGCTTAACCACTGGACCACCAGGGAAGCCCAGGGATAGGTGTGAGGGAAAAAATATTTGTCAACTCATTCATCAATTACTTACTCATGTTTTTAGTGTTGAGATATATATTGCTTGTGATTAATCTGCTCAATTAGTATTCAGTCTATCTAATACCTGATTAAACTTAGGTGAGCTAGAGATATTCTATCAAATATGTGTCTTACTTCCATTGTTGCAAAGATACTGAGTTCCTTTTTAAAAATGCTGCAAGAATTTTATTTTTTAAAAAGCTATATATTTACTGAATTCCATGGTAAGTATATTAGATAGCATCAGAAATAGAAAGAATGTTTCAAAAATGTATAATGTGTCTTCCAGCAGCCTACAGTCTAGCATGATAGATAAAACTAACTACAAATATCTCTTTTAACAAGTTGAAAATTACCAAAATCTCATAAGGAAGACATGGCTAATATAGTGTGATGGTTCAGGAAAGGGAGTAATCACCTCCATAAGAATTTTTAATCAACCTTGAATATTCATTGGAAGGACTGATGCTGAAGCTGAAGCTCCGGTACTTTGGCCACCTGATGGGAAGAGCTGACTCATTGGAAAAGACCTTGATGCGGGGAAAGATTGAGGGCAGGAGGAGAAGGGAATGACAGAGGATGAGATGGTTGGATGGCATCACCGACTCAATGGACATGAGTTTGAGCAAGTTCTGGGAGGTGGTGAAGGACAGGGAAGCCTGGCGTGTAGTGGTCCATGGGGTTGTAAAGAGTCAGATATGACTGAACAACTGAACAACAACAAAGAATCTTTAGGTAGTCATACCCACTATGTTTCCATAAATTAGTGAGGCATTACAGCACAGGTGTAAGAACTGGAGGTTCTAAAGTAAAAAATAAGCCATGATTTTAAGCCTCTTTTATGGGAGGAAAACTGAGTCTTAGTAAGTAGCCTATAAAAGATAAGAATTATTGGTTATAAAAAACACTAAAATTGTAAGGAATAATGATGATGACTGTAGCAGGCAGACCTTATGATGGTCTCCAATGATCCCCATATCCTGGTATTCATGTCCTTATGTACTGCCCCCCACCCACCTACCTGCAGTATGAGCTGAATGTAGGGACTTCCTTCCAACCTATAGAATATGACAAAGATGATGGGATGTCCATTCCATGATGAGGTCACATAAGGTTATGATTTCCATCTTACTAGCAGACCTCTTTCTTGCTGTATTTGATTAATCAAGTTGAAATGTTGGAGAGACTTTCTCAGCAAGGAATCAAGGGCAGTCACCAACCAACAGCTAGAAAGGATCTGAGGCCCTCATTCCAACAACCCTCGAGAAACTGAATTCTGCCAACAACCATGCCAGTTTCAAAGCAGATCTTTCCCCAGTTGAGTCTTCACATTATCTTCAGCTAATACCTTAATTGCAGCCTTGTGAGAGACCCAGAAGTAGAAGAAACCATGCCCAGATCCTGGAATCACAGAAACTGTGAGATAATAAAGATGTGTGGCTTTAAGACATTAAGTTCTGGGGTAATTTGTTGTATAGCAATAGATAACTAATACAGATACCATACCTGAAAGTGGGGATGATGCCACTAAAAATTCTAAAACTGTGGAGTGGTTTGGGAACTAGATAGTGGATGGAAGCTGGAAAGATTTCCCAGCACTTGACAGAACCCACATTTCTCTGAACGGACTGTTAGTAGAAATCTGAACTTCGAGGATGCTGTCAGTGAGAGCTCAAAGGGAAGTGAGGAACATATTACTGGAAACTGTAGGAAGGGAGATCTTTGTTATGTAGAGACAGAAAGCATGACAACATTGCCCCCTCCAGTTATGTGGAAAACAGAACATGCTTGATTTTTTAAAGAGATTTTTAAGCTTCCTTCTTGCTGTTTATAACAAAATGTGAGCAAATGAAGTGAGGAAAGAACTATGAAATAAAATAGCCCACTTTCTTTTTTTAATTAATTTATTTTAATTGGAGGATAATTTCTTTACAATATTGTAGTTTTTGCCATATATCGACATGAATGCCCCACTGGTGCACATGTGTCTCCCTGTCTTGAACCCCCTCCCATCTCCCTCTCCAGCCCATCCCTCTGGGTTCTCCCAGAGCACTTGCTTTGAGTGTCTTGCTTCATGCATTGAATTTGCACTGGTCATCTGTTTTACATGTGGTAATATACACGTTTCAGTACTAAAATAGCCAACTTTCTCTGCAACTTCTGGTCCTAGATGAGATGACAAAGATTCACTTTTCCTTTTACTTCTCTCAAAACACAACTAAAAATCTGGAAATAATTACAGACAACCATAAAAGAACTCTGAAAGGTGGAAAGGGGAAGGCAGGCTGGCTAGGGACCTTAGGACTTGAGGAACAATAGGGTGGCACGTCCCCTGGGATTTCTCTTTGCTTCCCATATATCTTGGATGGGTACTGAAGAAGGCCCACAACTCAAACCACCAAAAGGTACAGATTTTTTAAAGTTCCAGCAAAAGCCAGGTATCTCTGGCTGAAGGGCCAGGAAAGAGACAGCAGAGACCTAGTTTGGGAAACCCCATCTTCACCCCATCCCTGGCTGCCCTGCCTGCACCAGCAGCACCTGCAAGAGTAGGCGCCTGACTCCACCCGGAAGTCCCAACAGGCCTGGGGCCTCCTGGCCCTCCACTCCGCAGCAGAGGGAGAGCTATATCCACAATCTCCTGGACCACATTCGGTGGTAAAGGATGACTCCCAGTGCTAGAGGGAGAAGGAGGCTCGGGCTGAAGTTTCCCTCCCTCAGCGGCACCGGCACAGATGGAATAAGAAGCATGTTGGCACACGGTGCCCTAGAGAGAAGGTCCTGGGAAACACTCTCTGCCCCACAGGTTCAGCATCCTCCACCCATCCTCTACCCTAGCAGCACTGGGGGCCCAGGAAAGTACCTTCCACCCTCCTCAAGCAGCACCGTCAGTGATTAGGCAGGCCCTAGGTAGTAGCCTTGAGAACAGGCTCAGGGAAGCAGTAACTGCCCCGTGGCCCAGCATCTCCCACACTCCTTCCAGCAGGACCTGCCTGGGAAAGCGCACTTGGGCCCTGCAGGTAGCATCAACAGGATCAAACCGGAGCCCTGGGGGTGCCAGGCGAGCGCAGTGGACCAGAAAGGCACTCTCCAGGCTCCGAAACCTGTGTCGTCATTGGAACCAAAGCCGAAGAAAGTAAGCCAAGGGACTATGCACTAAACATGAACAGGGTGACTGCCTGCTGAAAGAAAAGACTTAAATAGGATCCAGAGTCTCATAACTTAATTCTCCAAATATCCAGGATACAAAAAAAAAAAATCACTCATCATACCGAGAACTGGAAAAGACACAACCTGAAGAAGAAAAGGCAATCAGCTGATATCAATGTAAAGATAAACCAAATATTTGAATTATCTGACAAGGATTTGAGAGCAGCCATCATAAAAAATGCTTCAGGAGAAGGGATAAGTTGGAAGATTGGAATTGACATATACTCAATACTATATATTAAAAAGTAAGTAATAAGAACTGTGCAGCACAGGGAACTCTAGTCAATACTCTGTTATGACCCATATAGGAAAAGAATCTAAAAGAGAGTAGATATATGTGTATGTATAACCAATTTACTCTGCTGTACAGTAGAAATTAACAAAACCTTGTGAATCTATGCTCCAATAAAATTAATTTAAAAATTAAAAATCCAATTCTTGTTTCACTGAAAAAAAAATGCTTCAATAAGCAATTCCAAATTGTCTCTAAACAAATGACAAAACAGAAAACTTCAGCAAAAACATTTCTCTCTGTAGAAGGACACAAAATATATCTATATATCACTTATGTATTAGTTTACAAAACGCAAAGTAACATTACATACTATTGAGGGACATATACATAAGCAAAAATATAAGGATGTGAATTGCAAGAATGATTACCAAATTTGTGATTATGTTTACTTTTATGATAGGAAGGAAATGCAATTTGAAAGGGAAATACAGTGTGCTTTCTCTAGATGTGAAATGTTTTATTTCTTAAGCTTCATTGTTGGTACATGTTCATTATAACAATCTTCACATGGTTATGTCTGAAATATTTCATAATAAAAATGATTACTGAGGAACTCTACTAAGTGATGGCTGTCTCTTGTAGCTTGCAACTTTAC